TTGTACACAAAATAATGAAATCTTCACAGGGATCTTTAAAGCATCACTGGGAAAAACATGCTGGTGAAGAGCATGGCAACGCTTGACCAGCACCAAACCAGTACTAGTCAGCACACACCAGCCTGAAAATTCACGCTGGTGTAAGACAGATACAAACCCGATTCCAAAAAAGTTGGGACACTGTACAAATTGTGAGTAAAAAAGGAATGGAATAATTTACAAATCTCATAAACTTATATTTTATTCACAATAGAATATAGATAACATATCAAATGTTGAAAGTGAGACATTTTGAAATGTCATGCCAAATATTGTCTCATTTTGGATTTCATGAGAGCTACACATTCCAAAAAAGTTGGGACAGGTAGCAATAAGATGCCGGAAAAGTTAAATGTACATATAAGGAACAGCTGGAGGACCAATTTGCAACTTATTAGGTCAATTGGCAACATGATTGGGTATAAAAAGAGCCTCTCAGAGTGGCAGTGTCTCTCAGAAGTCAAGATGGGCAGAGGATCACCAATTCCCCCAATGCTGTGGCGAAAAATAGTGGAGCAATATCAGAAAGGAGTTTCTCAGAGAAAAATAGCAAAGAGTTTGAAGTTATCATCATCTACAGTGCATAATATCATCCAAAGATTCAGAGAATCTGGAACAATATCTGTGCGTAAGGGTCAAGGCCGGAAAACCATACTGGATGCCCGTGATCTTCGGGCCCTTAGACGGCACTGCATCACATACAGGAATGCTACTGTAATGGAAATCACAACATGGGCTCAGGAATACTTCCAGAAAACATTGTCGGTGAACACAATCCACCATGCCATTCGCCGTTGCCGGCTAAAACTATAGGTCAAAAAAGAAGCCATATCTAAACATGATCCAGAAGCGCAGGCGTTTTCTCTGGGCCAAGGCTCATTTAAAATGGACTGTGGCAAAGTGGAAAACTGTTCTGTGGTCAGACGAATCAAAATTTGAAGTTCGTTTTGGAAAACTGGGACGCCATGTCATCCGGACTAAAGAGGACAAGGACAACCCAAGTTGTTATCAGCGCTCAGTTCAGAAGCCTGCATCTCTGATGGTATGGGGTTGCATGAGTGCATGTGGCATGGGCAGCTTACACATCTGGAAAGGCACCATCAATGCTGAAAGGTATATCCAAGTTCTAGAACAACATATGCTCCCATCCAGACGTCGTCTCTTTCAGGGAAGACCTTGCATTTTCCAACATGACAATGCCAGACCACATACTGCATCAATTACAACATCATGGCTGCGTAGAAGGATCCGGGTACTGAAATGGCCAGCCTGCAGTCCAGATCTTTCACCCATAGAAAACATTTGGCACATCATAAAGAGGAAGATGCGACAAAGAAGACCTAAGACAGTTGAGCAACTAGAAGCCTGTATTAGACAAGAATGGGACAACATTCCTATTCCTAAACTTGAGCAACTTGTCTCCTCAGTCCCCAGACGTTTGCAGACTGTTATAAAAAGAAGAGGGGATGCCACACAGTGGTAAACATGGCCTTGTCCCAACTTTTTTGAGATGTGTTGATGCCATGAAATTTAAAATCAACTTATTTTTCCCTTAAAATGATACATTTTCTCAGTTTAAACATTTGATATGTCATCTATGTTGTATTCTGAATAAAATATTGAAATTTGAAACTTCCACATCATTGCATTCTGTTTTTATTCACAATTTGTACAGTTTCCCAACATTTTTTTGGAATCGGGTTTGTATTTTCAACATGAGGTTTTATTATTTGGCTTGCTTTTTTTTTGTGTCCGGACCAGCAGTTATACCTTGTTATATAAAGCACATATGTGCAGGGCAGTGTTTCCTGAGGCATTCTGGGATGAGGAGTCTGCACCATAAAAAAGCAGGTGCTCTAAGTGTTGAGAGTTCCCATTTTGACAAGCCTGGAGAAAAAGAGAGAGGTAGGGGGGACAAAGAATGAGAGGAGGAAAGAGAAGGGCAGAAACAGTCATTTGACATGAGGAAAGGAGGGAGAAAAGAATAGATTTCATACATTGTCAGAACAGACACCTTTGCTAATTAACACCACATGTGTGAGTGAGAAGAAGGGAAAGAATCAAAATAGATATGGAAACATACACATGCACAGAGAGAGAAGAAGGACTGAGCAGTGATTCCCAATTGGTGATACTTGGAGGAAACTCAAGATCGGATTCTTGAACTTGTCTCTATTGCCTTTATGTTTGTAAGTTCTGTTTGCAACTTGTTTATCTTTGATCATTCAATTCCACCTTAAAAGACTACAAATGACTTTATTTTTGTTAAACATTCCACCAGGCTTTTAGTTTTTTTAAGTCAAATTCCCTGCAAGGGCTTTCTCTGAGAAAGGCAAAAAAGCTTACGATTAGAAACTTAGTAAGTCTGTTTTTCAACCACAATTTGACTGTTTTTAGTTTAAAAGTGAATCATTGTAATATTCATTTTAATATTACTGATAATGCTAAATGATATCTAGTATAATTTGAGTCAAAAAAGGAACACAGTTTCTTGTTAGTCTCAGTGAAGCAGAGTACAGTGTGTGAAGGCACAAAATAATGTTTTTTTATGAAGTTTCTTATGCTTACCAAGGCAAAAAAAATTTATTTAAAAATAAATTTAAAGTGTAATGTTTGTTCTATGAAACATTATTACAAATTGAATGCATGTATATTTGAATTTATTACTGTATATGCTGATTTAGTCCTCATGTAACTTTTGTTAATATTACCACAGTTTAACTAGTATTTTACAGTTATTTATTATTATTTCAGGTTTATTTGACAGGGACAATGCACATCAATAATGCATAAATGTACAATGTGCTAGAATTAGCCAGAAGGCTATTTTGCATCTGCAAGTCCCTGGACTGATTGTAAAATTGTCACCCTAAAAATATAAAGAATGAATCAATATATAATACTTACATACTCCAAAATACATATAACATTCACACTATTCCTAAAAAAAAAAAAAAACATCCGCTTAAAAGTTATACTATATCAAACAAAATGACAAACAATGCATCAATAATATCATAATATCAATATACAGACAAAGTAACAGTAGCCCTAATCATTCAATCAGTACTAAACCAAACAACCTCATATACATAGCATAAAAATCTCAAACTAGTAGAGCAGAAAAGACAAGACAGCAGCAAAGTTTAGTTTATAAAATTAATGTTGACAATGCTGACTCTCAATTAACCACTTCTTCAAGTGAAACTTAAAGGAGGCATAAGTATTAAAGTAACTATGCACTTACTGCACTTCTCGTTAATCTGTAACCAGATGGTGCTACGTTTACAAACTGGCTCAATACAGGAGGAGTCAGTCCATGTCTGATTTTATACATAAGACAAAGATCTGTATATATAATCAAATTTTCCCAACTTAAAATATAGATATATATTTTTTAATATCACAGTGATGATGGTGTATGTATTTCCTATCTAAAACTTTCAAAGTTTGTTTATATAAAGAGATAATTGGTTTGAGAGAAGTATTATTTGCTTGTGACCAGGTTGTCAAACAATATAGGTGATATGTGAGAAGATCATTGAATGCATAAACATCTTCGCAGCCTTAGTTGACATGCAGCTACGGGCATATCTAAAATTTGCCAAGTTGAACTTAATGTGATTGCAAACCTTTTTGATGTGCGTTTTAAAAGATTGATATCAATATATACACCCAGATATTTAAAATCCGAGACAACTTGTAGTCTCTCCCCAACTATGACTACATCTGACTCCACACGGCAACTTTTAATTTTACTGAAAAACATACATACAGTTTTCGATACATTTAGTTGTAAGTAATTATGTTTTAGCCATTCCGTGATCTTTAACATTGAACTTGTTAGCTGATCAGCAGCTCGAGTTGCACTATTAGCATGTACAAAAACTACTGTGTCATCAGCATACATCTGGATGTTGGAATTGAAACATGCATTTGGCAAATCATTTACATAGAGAGAAAATAAAAGTGGGCCCAAGATTTAACCTTGCGGAACACCTGCTGACAAAGAAACAACACCTGATTGATAAGTCTTCACTCTAACCAACTGAGACCGATGTGTTAAATATGATTCTACCCATTAAATGGTGTCTACAGAAAAATTAAATGCATTCAATTTAGATAAGAGAATTCCATGATTAATGGTATCGAAGGCCTTTTTTAAATCTAGGAAGATGGCACCGACAACCCCTTCTCGATCCAACAATAACTGCAGTTGTGCTGCTTAATATTTTTGTGGAAACCATGATACATTTTTCAGGATTCTTTGATAAATAGAAAGTTCAAGAGAACCGAATTTCACGAGTTCACACTAACATATAATGTGATTAAGCAATTAGTAGCATATTTGGCGTGCTGTCCAGAGGGAGGGCTCCGAACTCGAGTTAAAGCCTGAACCCAGAGAACCCCCCCATCCCCATCCCAATCCCAAGACTGGGAGGAAATTAGAATAGTAGTGAGGTGTTGGGGTGGAGGCGGGATGCTGGAAAACTTTTGTGGAACTGAGGTAAGTTGGCTGTATATATACACACGTATGTGCTTGTTAAGGTGATTAGCTGACGAGCTCCACCTGGGCCAGACTGATTATATGATCATGCTCCTCCCGAACCTTGTTAATAAAACATCATTTATTTGAACTTTTGTTTGAACTTTTTGTAACATTGTAATGTCATTCCTGTCACTTTTGATCGATTTAATGCATTCTTGTAGAATAAAAGTATACATTTCTTTCTTTAAAAAAAACAACAAAGAAACATACTGTAAACTTACTATAATGGTACTGTAAAGTGTAAATATGCAGGTATGTTCTCAGGGTATAGATCAGTGCTTCCCATGACACATGAATGAATGATTCACAGATACTGGGCTACAAAAGTCAGACCTAGGGCTGGATGATGAAACGATAATGATAATTATCAAGATATAATTTTCCTCGATAAAATGATAACATAAGTTCAATAAATGTTCTATATAATATTTATGCGCCAAAAGCGAAAACACAAATGAACGAAACAGCATGGAGCATTTATCCGCTCGGCTCAAAGTTCAAGCAGCAGATGCGTTTACTCGCTGATGAGTGTCGGTCACACGACACTAAACAGTGCTGTGAGATCCAGTGTGAAGCACTTGAATTCAGCGAAGGACACAAATGAGTCGGTGATTTAAACTAGTTTAAAGCCAGATGAAACAGCGCTGACAAACAGCAGAAACACTGTGCGCAACGAGACAGTCAGAAGACTTTTCAATCTACAAATCAGCATCATTTACCATGGATTTACTGTAGTAACACTAACCGCACCATGGTATTGTGGCAGAAATGTGGGATATTCATAACATTTTTTACTATATTATTAATACAGACTTGTATTAAATGTATTAAAGGAGTATTGGAATATAATTACAGTATTTTTTAAGCTATAGTGTTTGTGCATACTAAAAGTATTTAGACTACAAATACCTAAAAACAATATAGATACATTTTTGCCATGTTATTGAGGTTTTAACAGTGGTTATCATGATCTAAAGGTATAGATCATCTGCATCCGAACTCTAAAGCTATTACCACTGTCAACTCAAGCTACTGTCAAATGTGCATTTCTAAGAGACAAAACAATGTAATAATATTAATATTGAAGTCTGCACAGCAAACTGTGCTGAAGATAAATGTCATCAAAGTCAGGCAACACAAACCTGTTCCATGATTTGAAACAATATCAATGCAGAAACTAAGAAATACATTTTTCTATTAAGATAATTATTTTGTTAAAGAAAATGAATGGAAAAGTGTAAAGAATTCAAAAACTGATATTAATTATAACCTTATTGTTACCTATGGATGGATGGATGGAAGATGAATAGATAGATAGATAGATAGATAGATAGATAGATAGATAGATAGATAGATAGATAGATAGATAGATAGATAGATAGATAGATAGATAGATAGATAGAATAACATGACAATTGTGGCACATCAATTATATCAGTTACAGCAGTTATCAGTTATACATCAATTATTCAGGTGTTTGCTGTATATGTCACAAACACTGTTCTTCTCAGCACTTTTTGTACCTGATGGGTTTCGTCCCAGCCATTCTCATCACGAAGCCCTAGCTTGGCTCTGTGGTAGAGGAGGGTCTCGCAGCAGGAGGTGTCGCCCCCTATCAGCACAGTGTGGTAAAGTGGTGTCAGCCCACGGCTGTCTTTATAATCAGGAGATGCCCCCAAAGACAACAGCGTCTAAAACAACAACAACAGATGATTAGATTTAAATATGAATTTTTAATTACAAGCATAATTTCATCCTAATCATGGTTTTGTGTATGTGTTACCAGTAGTGCAGTGTGTGCATGTGCTCTGACAGCCTTGTGGAGAGGGGTCAAGCCATCCTTTGCCCTAAAGTCAATGTGTGCTCCCCCCATCACCAGCACCCTGATGATCTCCCCTCCTCCCGGCTCTGTCTGTACAGCCAGAGTGAGTGGGGTCTCTGTCACACACACACACACACACACACACACACACACACACACAGTAAAGTAATCAGTTATTACACAAGGCAAATGGATAATTACAATCTATGTGGTACATTATTCAGGAAGATTTTCCTATTTCTATCTTTTGCTGTTGAGTGTCAGTAGGAAATATCAGTTTACATTTCCAAACATTCCTTTTGCCATTAATTGTAAGAATCCATTGAGATTTTTATTTTAATAATTTTGGCCACCACAGTATATATATATATATATATATATATATATATATATACACCATATGTATATGATTTGTCTAGACAGTCTTGGCATCAACCCAAGATCGTCAGCATGTTGATGTGATGACAGACAAATTGTTCTTTCGAGTCACATATTTTTAATGAATCAACTGATCCAGCCCACGAAGATTCATTCACAAAATGTATTCACAAATCAGACTGATCCAGATCCCAAGGTCAACCCAGTGATTCGTTTGCAATGATTAACAGCTTTATGATACACATAATACAGTACATATATTTCAGTAAAAAAAATTAAATATCTTCTTTTGTGTTTTAAAGAAAAAAGAAAGACTTTTTTTTTTTTTTTAAATAAAGATTTTGGGCTATTCGGCTTTTAAAAATGTGTTGTTTCAGACTAATGGGAAAAAATCATCCAGAATACACTTTTAATTGTTTATTTTATGGCACTTTATCTATATGTGTCTGTAGATTTCAGTTACAATGCATAGATTTAAAGGCTGTTTCCTCAAAATGAATTTTTTTGTTAGGCAGTGAGCCAGAAATCTCCACCTCAGACGCACATATATATAAACAAAATATTATCTATATTCCTATTTTTACAGAGGGGTTTGTTCCCTCATCATTTACTGATTTTATACAATTTATACATATACATTAAGATTTACATTTTAATCCTAAAAAAAATTGTGAATTTTTTCCCCCTAGTTATTTTCTGATCTATGGCGTGATAAAAAGAGATATCAAAAATTCCCTCTGTAAAAACCTTAAAAGAAACAAGAACTTCGAACCTGGCTCAATTCAATGTTCAGATTTCTGTTCTGAAAATGTAAGCAAATTAATGTATATTTAATCAGAGAATGCAACATTTGCATATTTAAACATATAATACAATTTTTTTTACAATTCTTAATATAATCAATCAGTTGGAGAAGTATGGTGATATATATTAGTTACTTTGGTTTTTTTTTTTTTACCCTATTCACCTAGGGTGTATCCTGCCTTAAACAGGTTTGGAATGACATGAAGGTAAGTAAATAAAAAGGTTATTTTTGTTTTTGTCTGAACTATGCCTTTAATTGTAACCGCATATTTTTCTCAGATCAGCCTCCTGGTGGTTGCAAATGGTGCAGCAGTTCTCACTCCCCATTAGCAGGGTCTGCTTTGAGAAGTGACTGTCAGCCTGGCAAGCACAACATCAACTCTGTGACAAAGCAGACGATGCAAACTGTGAACAACACTCAAGTGTAGCCATCTTGCAAGTCAAACTCTGCCACAAATGAATGCTAATATTACTCTGCATTATCATCTGGTCCATAAAACGACTTTCACGGCATGTCTGGCCACGTCTCCAGCTCACCAATTGCTCACCAAAGCGCTAAAAACTTGAATTAATATGCCATAAAAGATGCTGCCCTGTTACAAATAGATTCAAATTATTCAGTGGTTTTTCTCTGTTGACGCGCATTGAACTGAACCGTTGAGCTGCAGTAATTGTTTCATCTCATTAAGCAGCCCAAAAGTAGTAATTGGGTTTAGGAGGCAGCCACTGAGTCTAATGTTAACTTTATGCATTTGTTGCATAATTAAAACTCCAGATGACTTTTGTTGGAAACTGCATGGATCGTTTGAGAAGATGCAAATGCCCATTCCTGTAAACGCTCCTTGAATATTCATGCAGCCATATTTCATAATATTCATGGCCAAGTTTATGCTCTGCTGCCAGTAATTCATTATTCAGCTCACTAATAGGAAGTTCATTAACTCTCACAGGAAGGGAACAGTGCAGTGCCTGACATCTCACCTCCTGTCTCAGCGTCGTGGTAGTTGGGGTCAAGTCCTTTGTCTACAAGTTTGGCTACCTTTTCCACAGCCCCGGCCTGGATGTAGTCCATAAACTTCTTCAGACTGGCCTATTGGGGGAGACACATACAACTTATGCCTCACAGCCATGCTAGGCTGTGCATGCCCTGAGGATAAGCTACGTATCGTATTTAACATACACATTAAGACGCAAGTAGCACATCATGAATGTTCACTTTATATTTCTACTTTTAGAAAAGAATAAGATGATTTCTGTGATGACTCCTACCTTTGTGTGCAGTTTGGCCAGCTGTTTTTCATCTAGATTTGTCTGTTTGTACACCCTGGTTTTGTAGCGGAACTGTGTGAAAGAAAATCAGCCAAAATCAGTGTAAGACAGATAACTGAGAGCCGTCAAAGAAACTTCCATCCGTTTGTGGAGGGAAAATGAAATGTTTCCAGTAATGTAAGGAGGACTGATGTTATATAAGGAGAGTTAACAAGCACAAATGTTTCATCTTTTCTTAAAACCCTTACATGAACTTTTCAGAATAAAAATGTCTTGTGTCTTGACTTTTATGGCACAATTACTTTATGGACACATCCTTTAATAGTATGGTTGTGTTGATCAATGTTAACTAAAAAAAACTATTAAAATAGTTTTATTTGTTTTATTATTTATTTTAAATTACCTACAATTATTATATTTCAATTACCTAAAACTATTAGATGAAACACTTCAACTTAAAAACAAAAACCTTAACGACAGCTTTAGAACTAAAACAACTATATTTAAGTTGAAGTATTAAAATGACTAAAAATAAAAATAAAATGAAAACTGAAAATACAGTTTACTTAAGTAAATATTTTTTACTAAAACATTAATAAATACTATAACAGTATATAAATAATACTAAAATAACACTGGTGTAAGATTTCATTAAAAAAGCATCTCGAGGTATCAAAGTATCAAGCACTGTAACTGAACACAGCAGAAATGCTGAGAAGCACAAGCCTAAATTAAGTTGTTACAATCATATTTTGTAATTGTTAATAAATGAAAATACAGAAGCACATTGGCGTTGGTAGGAGTCCTTGGTATCAGACTGAAAAGAAAATAAGTGATATTGCCCACCCCTATTATCAACTTCAGATGAGAAGGGCTTTTTGTAAATTAATTAGACTTTAAGTTGAGTATAATATTAATTGCTCTGTGCTCTACAAATAATAAAAAAAAACATTTTAATTTTTTCACTTTAACTTTAAATGTCTAAAGACATTCTCCAATAAGCCATATCAGGGTTATTAGGATTCATATTACCAGAGAAGGCGCTTAAAGAATTATTATCACCTAGGCAACAAACAATTTGAAGCAGCAGTTTCCTAGCACCAACATTCACATTCAATTATAGAACAAGATTTCTTTTTTTAAAGAAAGAAGAAAAAAAGAGAGTAAACAAAAAATGCCTAAAATGAAGAGGAGAACAAAAGGAAGGGTACCTCCAGGTAGGGTACTCCTTTCTCAAAGGATTGTGGGTATTCGCGGAGCGGCCTCTCTTCCTCCAGGAACTTGGCATCGTGCCCGTCAGTAGCAGGTTGGAAAAGGCCATAGTTTAATACATCCCTTAGAGATTCGGTTAGACTACACAGCACCTGCTGCTTTGCCTTCCATACGGTTGCATCAGGGTTGAACCTCAGACACTTCTATAGAGACAGAGAAAAAAAAATGGCTGTTCGATTAACAAAATGATTCAACAATATAATACTATTGAATTATTTGCTTTTAATTATATATAATTATTATATTATATTATTAAAATATTATATTGTAATATTACATTTCAACTATTTATATATTTATTTATATTATAGACACTAACATTTAAAGTTTTGGGGTTGGTACGATTTTTTAATGTTCTTGAAGTTTAAAAGAAGTGTTTCCTGCTCACCAAGGCTGCATTTATTTGATCCTAAATACAGTAAAACTAGTAATACTGTGAAGTTAAAATAACTGTTTTCTATTTTCATCTATTTTAAAATGCAATTCAGTCTTGTGGTGTTAAAGCTGAAGTCTTCAGTGTCACATGATCCTTAAGAAATCATTCTAATATGCTGATTTTCTGCTCAAGAAACATTTCTGTTTATTAACAGTTCTTCTGTATATAGACATTGTAGTTTCTTTAAAAAATGACACCAAACATGAACAGTAGTATGCATTACAATTTTGATCATATTTATTATAATTGATCTGTTTTCATATATTTTACAGTATTTACTTACATATAAATATATATGGTTAATTTTATTTATTAATAATAACTACCAAACAATTACTATTATTATAAATTACTGTTTATCCCCATTGACCTTAAAAATAAAAAGATGCAGTTCTGACCGATGTGCACTAGAGGGAGACATTGTGATTCACTGAGGTGAAACATCACCGTTTGTCGGATTAACAGACCCCGCCGCCTGACCAGCAACTGTCCATCAGTTTCATTAACATATCATTTGAGTCTTTGTTCACCCTGGTAGCGCTAAATGGCAATGCTAATGGATTAATTAGCCTGCAGTAATACCTCCAGTCCACAGCTTGCTCAGCTACTGTAATAGATGCTTCGGAAGGTCAGGAATAGCGGTGTGATTTGTGACACACCCCACACGGCAAGTACTGCTATGACATTGCCTAAAACTCCTTGCATCCTTCAAGCTTGAGCACAAGCTCCAGGCTAAGGGACATGGTAGCTTCGAGCTGCTCAGGCTGGATTTTGGGACATCAGCGCTGTTCCAGCAACTGTGAACATGGGACAGCCCTGCAGCCTAGTGCTGGAAAGAAATCCCCTCCTCTGACCTTGAGGAGTTAAGTCCGAAACGGTCAGTTTCCAGCTCTCTTTACCACTGTCCTCTTGTATGTGTGTGTGCACATGCAGTGGCACAGAGAAGTGTGAAATGTCTTCCTCCCTCTGTTATTCAGTCTCTCACTTTGCACACAGCCAATCCCCATCACCATGGCAACCAGTTCATTAGTGGAGCAAGCTGCAGGTTGCCATAGAAACATCTCAGCAGTCCCTTGGTGCTATGGTATGGTGTACGTGTTTCACTGTGATCTTACAGAGTGCATGTGTACTGGAGGGAGTTCTGCTCGAGAGCAGTGGCAGCTCGGCGGGGGAGGCACAGCTTCCACATAGTTTTGAGGTGAAAATGGGAGGAGGACGCTTTAATGTTAATAAAATTCACAATTCATTTCAGTTCATGTCTCAGAATGTGTATTTTTTGTTTTGTAATTTCACAGTTGTAATACCATAACATGAAAGTGCCGCGTTTCTATCGCGAATGTGCCGAATCTGCTGATGTAATTACAACCGCTAATGATAGAGAAGGGGAGGGGGAGGCCGGGGGACAGGTGAGCTCTCGTGCCTCCGTTGGTAAAAAAAAAAAATTAGCCAATCAGCATCGAGTGTTCACTTTCAGCGCTGAGGAGTGTTGAGAAAAGAAACCTTGCAGAGGAGGCTAGCCTCCCTTCTGATATCAACCAATCATCATAGAGACGTAAATTATGTGATATTAGTTTGAACGTCTCCCGCTGCGCTGATAATGTACCAAGTACTTATGATGAGTAGCGATATTGAATATTTGATCGCCAACAGATTTACCAAGCTGTCATTCAAACAGTATACACATTTAGGGAAAATAGCCTAAGCTGGATATAGGCTACAGCTGTCGGCTTAATTAAATGGCACAGCAGGCAGCTCTCTTTTAACACAGAGTTTAAGAAGGGATGGAGGTTTGCTTCAAGTGATAGGCCAGGTAAGTGAACTTATATTATCTTGCTGCATGTGTGTCATTTTCTTTACGTTTTCTGACTAAAAGCAACCAAAAGCCATTTTAAAGTGGTTAAGCAAATAATAATAATAATAATCGGTAGGGATCCCAGACCAATACCATTAGTGTGCCTCCTCTATTTTAAAACCCAAGAGCCGCCACTGCTCGAGACAGGTCATAGGTGTAATGGACAACTTCACAGACAATTTGGAATATCAAGACGTGTGGCGATCACTCACACAAGTCAAACATCTTGCATATGCAAGGATATGCAGAATAGTTCTCCCAAAAATGAACATTTCATCATCTTTTATACATGTCTCGAGCCTTTTGAAACACTTTTTTCTTTTTCTGTGGAAGACAAAACATGTTTATCCAAGCTGCTTTTTCCAATGTAGTGAAAGTGGATGGTGACCACAGCTGTTAAGGCAAGAATTTCAGTAAATGGCTTCAGAAGACATGGAATTTCCTATGGACCATTGCTATGGTGCTTTTCTTTTTTCTTTGTTTGGAGCTGGACAGCCTCTGGTTCAAATCTACTTTCACTCTACGGAAAAGAGCAGTGTGAACATTCTTCGAAAAACATCCCCTTGTTTGTTCTACTGAGGAATAAAAACCATACAGGATTGAAACGACATTAGGTTAGTAAAAAATGGCAGTCCCTTTTAACGCTACACATACAATGCAAATGATAAAAAAAAGGTGCACACCACAGATGTAGACGTGAGTTCATTCGCACACATGTGATTACAATAATTTTGTTAGAATGATAATCAACCTGGAAAATTATTTATTATAATGATATCTAATTATACTAATTTGGCAGTTAACCTAAGAGCTATTATTTTCAGGTCACAAACCACAGACTAATTCACAATGCTGTCCTCTCTTTTTTCCACTGACAATAAGCGTGACATCCTGTGCTGTTTTCAAAACGTTGAGAAACAATTTATAGATGAAAGTTCTAAACAGATTAGTTAATTAAGCAAAATGTACCTAAATGCCTTTGTGCTCTATGCCTGGTCTAACTGCTTTACTGATAGAAATTCTGTTTAAGAGCTACATCTCTATCTCTCTCTTGACTTTTTCATACTTGTTTTTCTCTGTTCTTATAATGTTCTGTTGTGAACCCATTACTTTGATTCTTATTCTTTCTCTCTCTACTCTTACTCTTTATGCTCGGTGCCAAGAGGTACAACATTCAGTTAAAGTTAAAATATCAAAAAGGCAACTTTGGTTTAATAGTTTGGTTTAACTGTTCTGCCCCGCTGACTTTTTTATGAGACTGGCCCTCATAGTCCATTTAATGTACCAAGTTAGTGGAAACCAACGTTTCAGATTTTATGGCCAAACATGTTAAAAATAATTTACCATTACTGCACAAGCATCCGCATCTGTTATTATACTGTTGAGAAATTGTGCATATACGTACATATGTGAACAAATCAGATTTTTTTGCACTTTTCACTGTCAGACCAACAAACAAGTCAAATAACAATCCAGCTAGAATAGGGTCATGTTAACATAGATTTGCTTACATAATCATTACAAAAATTCACAGTTTAGTTTAGTTATTACCAAACGTCCTAGATTAGCCTGATGCAAACTACATTATTGATTCAGAGAGCTGGGATCCCTGCAGACTGCATATAATATATAGAAAAATGCCACATTTTGCTGATATAACACTTAAGGACTGCTGTGCATGGCAAACCAATATTTTAACTTTACTCTGGATATGTTTGAACTATTACAGACATTGAAATGTACAGTTGTAGGAAAAAGTATGTGAACGTAGATGTACCATGGGTTAAATGGCTCATACAATTTGATCTCAACAACAATAGACAAACATAGTCTGCTTTAACAATTAACACACAAAAGTGTATGTGTTTTCATGGTTTCCTGGAACATACTATGTAAACTTTCACAGTGCAGGACGGAAAAAGAATGGGAATAGTTGGATTTAATAGTTGACTCTTTTGTCAACGATAACCTTTGGGTCCACTCCTCCTGTCTCTCCCCGAACTCATTAAACCACAATTAACGAGCAATTGCAGTTTATTGAGGGTGAATTAGCTGGTATGTAGAGCAGGCCTAATGTACTGGGATTATGCAGACATATTAATCCACACAGAAAAAGCAGAGGAAGAGAGAGAGAGACTCATAAAAGAACATGGTTTAAGGCAAAACAGAAATCAGGAAGACATAGGAGAGAAAGACATGAAAAATAATCTGAAAGTCACAAAAAGCCACACCTGACTGCCTTCTTTAATGTATACAGAGAATTAAATATAATTAAAATTACGTTAAACAAAATTACTGTTAAAAGTTGGTTCTAATTTTATAACCTAATACATCATGAAAGCATCACTGAATTGCACCATTTGACTCCTATAACATCTTTGCATAGGCAGGTGTTGCAGATGGGCTAAAAGCACAAGAAAAACATTTGGCAGAGTGTTTCGATCCAGCTCAGATCACCTCCAGGTGTTTCACTGCCATCCTGTTTCATCTATCAACCAATCTTACACTAATTACAATTTGCGAGTGGCTTGTTGGACTAAATAGGCAGTTTTGGATAACTGGAACAAAGAAAATACCACTCATCTCTCACTTCCTCGCACACAAACATACACAAACTTCCCCCTCACAAACACACACACTAATGCACATATGCACACCTACATTCATTATACAATCCCACATTAGAAGAGTAAAAAAGCAAGAGCAGATACAGTTTGGTTTTTACAAACACTGAGAATGAAAAGAGAAAGATAAGGAAAGACTTGCTTAAACCTTGAATATGCTCCCTTCATCAGGCATGTCCAAATCCAGTGTTTCAGTAATACCCATTCTACAAAAATGCCTCCATCTGGTCAATTTTTGAATGCAGATATCCCACAGTCCTGTGTGTGTGGTCTGGCAGTTGGTTGCAAGAATAAAAATGCTTTCCGACTGAGTGATTGAAACAAATTAATCTGTAGATGACCAGTTAAACTGTAGATTTTTTTTGTCCCTATAAAAATTATTACTTAAATAATAAATTACCTAGAAAGTCTCTAAAACATTTGTTTGGTTATTTTGAACAATAATTTTCACAATAATTATTTATATTATGTATAAATCAGTGTTGATCTTGTTAACTAAAACTACTAAAGGTGACATATCATGAAAATCTGACTTTTTCAGGTTTTAAGTGCTATAATCAGGTCCCTGGTGCATCTACCAACCAAGGAAACGTGAAAAAGATTAACCCTGTAACTTTGTTTTGGTAAGCCTTTTTCTGAAAGCGTCGAGCGCGTCTAAATTTGCTCCCTTTGTGACGTGGCAAAGGGATCTCATTATAATATTACCGCCCCTTAATCTGTAAATTTACACCCACGGCGCCATCATTTTGATTTCACAAGCGACAACAGTGTACTAGTTCTAATGCCATGGCGAAAGTTTGCGCAAAACATGCTAACTGTTCTGCCTTTGGCTGCACAGACGAGCACAGAACAATCCCAGCCTCAGAGGAGACCAGAGAGCAGTGGATTTATTGATTTATTTAAAGAGCAGCTCATATGGATTTTTGAAAAATATCTCTTTTGCAGTTTATAACATAGCTGTCCTTAAATTAAAACAATCTGCAAAGTTGTTAATCAAAAAAGTGCATGATAAATAAAGATATTGTCTCTCAAAAGAGAGTCAATTCTGAATCGCCTTAACGAGTCATCATATTTTCGAATCTTTTGCCTGTTACGTCACTGGGTAACACATTTGCATAATCCCCGCCTGCCCGCGAAATACGAACAGAGTCTGACCTGCCCACAAACACTTCCGCTAGTTAGTGTGTTTACATCATGTTGAGAAGACGCTGTGTTGACGGATACCATAGAAATACAATTCAAACCTTTTGCTGTGTGCATGTCATTTTACCAAGGACTGCTTCTCTAATCTTGGCTTTTATCTTCGTTGGCTTCTAATCTTCTTAATTTGGACTAACAAGCTCTCCGAACCACAACCTGTCAGTACAATTGATACGTTATGTGTACATTTTCAATTGAGTGCTCAAAATATCAAGTTTTTGTGCTAATACTGTATGTGATGTATACTTAGTGCAGCTTTAGGTTTCCAGGTAAAGCAAGATATTCTGTCTTACTGAAGTAGTTCTGATAATTCGCTGTGAACCCACTATTTCCTAAGAATGTGTCGATTAATGTAGACTGACGTTGTTCAGATTACTTAATTTAATAATAAATAATGTAGTGTAGTGCACAGACTTTATAATCATTGTGAAAAAGTTGTATTTACTACACTGTTCCAGAACAGTACAACCCAAATATCCAGATGTGTCCAGCGCATTTTATGGAGGACTGTTTCCTGATCCTGGAAGAGTAGACTACAATGCCGGCTGTTCTGACTCACAGACCCTAAGTACGTTTTTTATATTAAAGAATTTGCCATTGATGATTCAAACGCGAGTTTTGAACAGTGTAGAGTAGCCTTGTTGTTTGTAATTTCTCCGATCACAAATGCAGACATGGTTTTATGTTTATGCGGCGCGATGCAATGCGAAAAATACAGTATATGTCATTATAATCTGTAATTATGTCCCCACTGGATGCAATAAATGCTTAGTTTATAATGGGGTTGAATGTTTTTGTTTCGTCGCTCCAGTCGGACAGGGCATCACAGTATGGTAAGGGCATAACATTTCCGTCACACGCTTGAACTCTAATATTAAATGTATATTCTGAGAAAATTACAATGTTTTCTGACCTTAGATGCATTTAAACCAGTTGTAGCGGACTCCACCACAATATTAGGACACTTTAAAATATATGACCTGCTCTTTAATGTATATTGCTGCTGCCACACAGATCTAAAATAAACATGCTATTTATTTCCCAGCAGTTTACCTTCACAGACATAACCGACTGTTTTGTAAAAGTGTGTGTTTTTAATGTAAACTTGTTTGTGAATGAGAACTTAGTTTAGTACTCTGTGACATCCGCTCTCTGTCCATGTGCTTCGGATGTGTGCGCTCAGAAAACCGTATATCAGAAGTTTAAACTCGTATGCTTTAAAACACATGATTTCAGCTATATAAACATGATAATCAGAACCAAAACAGATGTTTTTAGCAGGTACGAGCTGTAATGGCGCAGCTCTATTCTGGAAAAGGGGGCGAGGAGACAGGCACGAAAAACAGTGTGTTTCTGCTTCCACTCAAAATAGGCATTTTCAAAATGATATAATAAATTATCTGTGGAGTATTTTGAGCTGAAACCTCACAGACACATTCTGGGGACACCAGAGACTTATATTATATATTGTAAAAAGGGGCATAATATGTCTCCTTTAAAACATTTTTGTAAATCAAAATAAAACTGAAATAAATAAAATATAAATATTAGATAATAAAAACTTTTGTTGCCTGAAAGTTTAAGCACTAAAATTGCTAACTGAAAACTAAAACTGATATAAAACTACAAAATTTTAAATAAAAACTATTTAAACCAGGGGTGCCCAAACTCAGTCCTGGAGGGCCAGTGTTCTGCAGAGTTTAGCTCCAACTTGCCTCAACACACCTGCCTTGAAGTTTCTAGTATGGCTAGTACGACCTTGGTTAGCTGATTCAGGTATGTTTAATTAGGGTTGGAGCTAAACTCTGCAGAACATCGGCCCTCTAGGACCGAGTTTGGAGACCCCTGCTGTAACATAACAAAATGTGGAAAGGTGTGTCTGATTGGGGTAGGAGCTAAACTCTGCAGGACAATGGCCCTCCAGGACTGAGTTTGGGCACCCCTGATTTAAACTATTTATTATTCATAAAAAAAATAATAATAAAAAATTTAAATGACAAAAGCACATAACAAAATTACAAAAATATTAAACTACAATTAAAATTAGCACTAAAAATATAAACATAAAAGACAATTCAAAATATTAATGAAAACTATAATAGTATATACAGTTCTAAAATAGCACTGGTATAAATGATATTATGGTGCCTTAGAAGGCAAACAAAACACTCTGTTGAGTAACTAGTCAACTGGGCAGCGAGGCAGCAAAACTGCCTTTAGTTTGACTTCACTGAAAGAACACTCTGGGCCCAGGTCTACTATTTTAAATCAATTATCAAGCATAATCATATTACTCATTAATCTCCTGCCACTGCCCACAGCAATAGGACGGGCCAGGGAGCATGAGGGAAAGTAAACCTCAGTACTGTCATTCAAAGAAATGAAGAACAACTATAGACACATACTGTAGAGTATTAGATGCTATCACGTGTTTCTGGTTTGGGATGAAGCAGCGCCGTCGATTCCATCCCTTTCGGCAAACATGTCCACAGTGACTTTAATTTTCTTGTCTCTCTCTTTTTTTCTCTTTCTTTTTGCTTTATCTGGGAAAAAAACATTTTGCTGACATTTGCACATCTATTTGGAGGAGACGTTTGGATAAAATCTACTTACATACACACATATGCGCACACACACACTCGGGCAAGCGCACACCGACCGTATGAGTGTACACTGGAGGACAACTTCAGCAGATCCAGCCAGCGTCAGCCCATATTTAAACACAGATTCCTGAGCAACCAAAGTCCTGTAAAACCATATACCATATCAAGAGATGTGTGAAATATAATATAGTTTAAAAGTTCATAGTAATAGGACATGTCAGTGATTTGTTTGAAACTCTTTCTGACAATAATGAGTCTTGAATAAGTAAAGTGACCAGTGGATCACTGAGCCACTAACTACATTTACACCAACGTTCTAAAGTTTGTGATAAGATGTTTTTGAAAGAAGTCTCTTATGCTTAACCAGGTTGCATTTATTTGATCAAGTAAAAACAACTGTGAACTATTATTACAACTAAAGAATAACAGTATTTAAACTCCATTTTTATAGATTTTCAAATGCAATTTTTTCTTGTGAATTTTCAGCATCATTACTCCAGTCTTCAGTGTCACATGATCCTTCAGAAATCATTCTAATATGCTGATTTGATATCCAAGAATTAACATTTCTCATTATAATCAATGTTGAAAACATTTGTGCTGTTTAATTTTTTTTGTTGAAACCATGATACATTTTTTATTACTCTTTGATGAATTCACATTGCGCAGCATCTCTCTTTTTTGGAGTATGCACACAACACTGAGTCCAATTTTAGATGAAATCACATCATGTAGGTCTGTTAGTCCGATTTTGCAAAAATTAGAATGGTGCAAGTTTAAGCTTTTAAAAAAAGAAGAATTACTGCGTTATACCGATTGAAACCCAACTTTTGAAGTGCATGTACACAAACCTATTGAAAGTGCTAATGACACTTCTGCTTTGTGGCGACAGCCGCAGGACTAAATGTGTGTTTGTTGAGTGTGTGGCCCACCTACTGGCAACTTGCTGTGCTCTGGGATCTATTTCAAAGTATATTCACATTTTATATATGTATAAGGTACTGCTAAGAAGGAAAGTGTAAGTATAGCAGGTCTTTTGTGCAGCAGAGGTCATGCGTATTGACCGAGAGGGTGTCTGGCCCTATAGAAGGGAGAGCAAGTTCTGACCTGCCATAGCAGGACACATGCTCCAGACTGTTTGAGATGGCATTGAACACTTAAGAACAGCTTTTCCAAGTCGGTGTAATTAATTTGTTGCCCCTTTTTTAGATTCGTAAACTTGTCATAAACTTGTATCACTCCCAGTATTCGCCTAATTGATTTTTTGAGCGGTGTTTGGCGGCGCTCTGACTGCCTGGTTAATATGTATGCTGTGGGCTCAACCAGGCATGGTTAGCAAAAGACGGATGTTGCATAGCATATGAGTGGGTAATTGGAAAACAGGTGTGGGTTTGTGTGTGTGTGTGTGTGTGTGTGAGACTAACCGTCTGTTTGATATCAGGAATGCCAATCCGAAAGACCATCATAGCTATGTGCGTGTCGTCAGGTGCATTGCTTGAGCTTCGCTCTCTTAGCTTCCGCTGTTGTTGCTGCTGATTAGCCTGCGTTTGGTGGGTGGGTCCAGGGTAATATATAAAAAATATATATATAATTGAAATTTACCTTATAAAATTGCTCAAATAGTGTTCTTCAATAGAAGCACTTTGGAAAAAAATCACTGAGCCGCATGCACTTTTTTGCTGATGCTTTAGTGTGCCTTATTAAGCACGAAAGTGAATAATGACCCACTGCCATTATCTTGAATTGACAAAACCGGATATTCATTAAAATTCTTTTTTGTTCAGATGAAAAAGAGTCATACAGTATTTAAATTTTTGCCAAACTATTCTTTAAGAACAGATCAAATTGTCAAGACATTGACATTATGTTCCAAATCCACTGCACACCGTCTAGCTAGTTATGAACGCAAGAACAGACTCCGTGGGAATGGCCCCTTGGCAAGAAGCCAATTCTCATTCATAGATTACCTAGCCCTCATGTCCCACTTGCCCTTATGCAAAACGAACACACTCCTTACGAGTGTGAACGAGAGTGAACTGTCAATGTACAGACACTCATGCTCTGCTTGTATTACAGCAGAAAGAAGATGTTTGGCTTCCACCAGCTCTGTCTCTCTACAAACACGGACTTGTGCACCTCTTGTATTACAGCACAGATGGGACTCTTTGCTGTCGTCCCTGTGCACACACACAAACGGCACTCAACACAGTGTTGTAACTCCTCATATGTCCCAGATCAGTAACAAAACCACTGTAGCCCAGCACTCTCAGGCACTAAGAGTGTCTCTCCTTCAAATAGACCTCTTCAAATTAGGATTACTGTGTTTAGCAGAGGGAACAAAATACTTCTCTGTAGTGGCACTCACACCCAGCTGCTGTGTGGCTCAGATGCTGCACCCACACTTTAGATGTGGAGGATATCTTATGAAAATGTGTCTTGTTCTCATGCCAATCAGCTGTCGTATCTGAAAGTGTTCACTATTGCCCATAAAATCAAATCTCTTACTCCATACACAGAACCTAGAGCAGAGTTTTCAAACTTTTTGATGCCAAGAACACTCAAATATGATCATGGGTGTAGAATATGCAGGGTTTTCAAGGGCCAGTGTGAATAAATCTAGATTTAAATTCAAAGAGACAAGATAGACTATGCATGACCTGACATTTTATTTGTATCCAAATGAGGCGATGTAAACATTATGGAGCGCTAAACACTCTCATGCATGTTTCATTCATACTCAATGCTGGAGGGCCCTTTCGTGCAGAATGTCCAAAATTGACTCAGAGGGCTCTAGACAAAAATAAATAAATCAAGGAGCCATTGGCTCCTATAAGAAAAAAAATTAGGCGCCATATTGTTTTTTTGGGTGCCACAGAATAAGCGTGTTTTATTTTTATTTTTTTAACACTTAACATTTCAGTCTGTCATGTGTTTGTTTCATCTTTTCTTGTCTTTATCAGCATTTTAATCCATCTTGTAGATCTCCTGGGAACTAAGGATCACTTATATAGGCAACAAATGTATTTTCCTACTTGAGAACTATATAGTCACAAAGAATTGTTTATTACACAGAGGCTGTGCCAATATCACGGACCATAATTATTTCACCATCAATTGGCCATTGACTGTATTTTGGGCTCCTTCTCAATGCATCCTATCAATGTTGTCATATGTCCTGCACATTTCCAGTCTGTTTTTCTTCATTAGTAACATGCAATTATATAGGAGGTGTTGAATTTTACCTTTAGCTCCTTGCGTTCTTTTTTTTATCATGTCAACAGGTTAAGTAAAAATATGAATATGCAATATAGTGCCTAAATTTAGCAAAATGCTCCTCTTTATAGTTTTTTTTTCTGACTGACTGATGAGCTTATGGACGCCGAATGGTTATTCTGAGGTAAATGCATTGTTACGTGGCATTGTTTACAAGCTTTACACGTTTTCCACAATTTGAAACACTGAATGAGCGATTGCATGAGACATTTCAGTAAGATGTACTATATCTTATAAAATAGCTTTTGATGTCCATTCATGTTTATTTCGTACTATAGTTGCTATGAACTCAGTATGGGTTATATTTGTTGGTTGCTTGTTTTTTTCTCTGTTTGTTTTGCAGGATGGAGTTAGGGTGAGTGACGTCATTATGGCTGAGGACTGACACCTAGCTGATGCCGATTGCAAATTTAAAGGTGACATATCATGAAAATCTGACTTTTCCAGGTTTTAAGTGCTATAATCAGGTCCCCGGTGCATCTACCAACCAAGGAAATGTGAAAAAGATTAACCCAGTAACTTTGTTTTGGTAAGCCTTTTTCTGCAAGTTTCTGAAAAAACGAGCCCGTCAGATTTCGCTCCCTTGGTGATGTGGCAAAGGGATCTCATTATAATATTACCGCCCCTTAATCTAAGTTTACACCCACGGTGCCGTTATTGTGTTTTTGCCAGCGACAACGGTGTACTAGTTCTAATGCCATGGCGAAAGTCTGAGCAAAAATGCTAACTGTTCTGTCTTTGGCTGCACAGACGAGCACAGA